TTTTATTTTACTTTGTATGTCTTTTTTCTCTTCATTTTCATGCATTGTCATCCAATTCTGAACTATGTGCCAAATTTGAAGTTTGTAGCTAGTCGGGAAGTTAGTTTAAAATCGATTACAAAATTCCATCCGGACAGACATACACGAAGGCAAGTTTATATAAACGTGGTAAATAAAATAGGGTAAATTCTGGTTGGAGCAGAAATTTCGGAGCTGAAGTCTTTTAATTTTTTCTCCTATTTGTGAATATTTTATAAATGGTGTTCCGCAATGAATGCCCTTAACATTTATTTCTTGGATTCAAGTCAAAAATGAAGTCTGAAAAGGCATACATGTGAGGGTTCACAAATTGGTAATAAACAAAATCGCCCTCAAACTCTGTTGAGTTGTTACTAAGAAAGACGATATGAAAAGCATCAAAAACAGTTTCATTACTTGATTAAACCTAGAGCTCTTTCTTTAAATTCTAAACATTTAATCTCCTCCATGCTTTTGCTGTCAATTAAACAGATTTTAGTATTTATTGAATTCTAATAAGGTAATTTTTATGCTTCACACTTCAAGAAGCATTATTTTAAGATAAACATGCCAATTAAGGTTATTGTTTGAAATATTAAGTACAGACACATGTTCTTAATCAAAATCTGTTATAAGACTTATTTTTCTTGCCTGCATAATTCTATCGAAATGCGAGAAATATTTTATGCTTAACATCTCATGAAATATTGCTTTTTTTTTAAAATCATGTCAATTGAGACTGTTGTTAAAAATGTTAAAAACAGCAGCATGTTCTTCACTTCAGGAAATCCTAGTATCAGACCAGTTTTACTTGCAAGCATGATTATATTTGATGGTGCGAAAGTTATTAAGCTTATAACATTCCAAAAAACATTGCTTTCAGAAGATCATGCCAATTGAGACTACTGTTTAGAATGTTAAAAACAGCCTTTAATTAATATGCCTTGAATTTTAGCGCCAACTTATATGAATCCTATTTTACTCGCAGACACGATTCTATCGAAATCTGTCCGTAACATCTCAGGAAGAATTGGTTTTTGAAAATCATGACATTGGAGATTTTTGTTTAGAATATAAAGAATAATAAAAACGGTGGTGACCTGTTTTGCGTAGATTTGTTTTACAGTTTTATTATTAACGATTATCCACATTTTTGATCGTTAGTTTTTTTACTCACATTTTTTTTTCTTCCTGTTTTAAAATGTTTAAGAGCATTGTTTGTTTCTCTTTTTTTTAGTCTCGAATAGAGCAGCAACTTCTGCATCTGGCAAGGCTTGTGAGTAGGCAGGTGGCTTCAACATATTCATCGCTTGTCCCTGTTAGACTGACCAGACAACAAGAACCGGTACGAATCAAGCAGGGTTGGCATAACTCTTATATTTGTTTTTACATTTAGGCAAGAAGAAAACACCTGTTGAAACTGCTTTCAAAGAATAAATTTAAGATTAGTGTTTTGAGAGGGCTTTATGCATAAATGATTACAAAATTATTACGCAATTTATACTGGTATTTAGAGGTACGCCACAATTTTGAGTTCCTGTAAAAGCTAGGGTCTTTCATTGTGATATTCATAGGGTTTTTGCTTTAAATCCCTTCGAGTTGCGAATGTTCTTACAATTTTCCTATTAATTTAAGGTCACCTGAGAAAAAAATACTTTACAAAAGTGAAACTAACATTAATTTAGTCCAGAAAGTTCAAGTATCAGTACCAGTAAATATAACCAAGCTGACGTCATTTGAGAAAATCCTGCCAACGCTTCAGAGTCAATTGAAATCAAATTTTGATGGGTAAATTTTTTATGCAAAAAACTGTATTAAATTATCATCTATCCCAACTCTTGACTTGTGCTGGCTATACATAAGGATTTAATTGTTATAGCTATTCCCACATATGACCTATGACCTCTTGTACTTGGTCTAGTCCTCGCCCCAACTACAAGGGATCAGCCGCAAATGAGGTAAAATAAATTGATTTCATGGTTTCCTTTTTTTTCTGAATAGAGTTCAAATTAAAGGTCAAGATGACGTATTTAAATAGTTTCAGAACACTTAAATTATTTGAATCCACAATCAAGATGAAAGAGGGGGGTCAGCTCAGGAGACACATGTGATGCGCGGCATGCTGATCCATTTGATTTTTCCACTCATTACAAAGACGTAAATTGATACTGGTTATGGTCATGATAGACCAGTTATAGATTAAATAACTTGAAGCATTTTTTACTCTCGTGTTAAGTAAAGATTTTTCGTGTCTTCTGAATGGTATCTAAAATTACTAAAATATCGCATATTTTTTATACAAGGGGTGATCAAATGAAAAGGTACAAAGCGACACGGTGGGTACAAATGTAGACTTTATTCAAAATATACACTATAGGCCTCAGCACAACGATCCCACTGATGAACAAGCAGCAGGATTCCTTGTTCTCAGAATTCCTGGGGCCGTGACGAGACCCAGTACTTCACAACGTCCTTGAGTAAGTCGGCCGAGTTGAAGCGCTTCCCTTTCAGGTGTTTCTTCAGTGAACCAAACACATGGAAATCGCAGGGCGACATGTCCGGACTGTAGGGCGGATGGTCCAACGTCTCCCNGGCCGTGACGAGACCCAGTACTTCACAACGTCCTTGAGTACGTCGTCCGAGTTGAAGCGCTTCCCTTTCAGGTGTTTCTTCAGTGGACCAAACACATGAAAATCGCAAGGCGACATCTCCGGACTGTAGGGCGGATGGTCCAACGTCTCCCACTTGAACTTGGCCAATTCCACGTGTGTGACTCTGAAGACGTGTGGACGCGCGTTATCATGGAGCAGAACCACATCTTCCGTGAGCAGCGAACTGCCGCATCATTTGGACGCCACTTTTGATGAGAGCCTCTGCTCTCTCCTGAGCATGCGGACATCCGCGTATGCTCCGATCCCAGTCAGAGACTCCAATCGCATCCCGAGATGTCTCTCTACGTTCTCCCATGGCGGAATATGCAGATATTTAACTGTTGCGTTTTTACGTCGTTTCGTACCTTTTCATTTGATCACCCCTTGTATATAATGTAAAAAAATATTACCCTATCCCTATTACAATATTCTATGCAATAGATATAATTTGTACTTTCACATAGCATATTCCGCACTCTCATATACGCAAGATTGTTATGATTGTCTCTGCGGAGAACTGCGGATTGTTTATTAGTCATTACGTTTCTCAAAACATAACTATACTATGTACTTAAGAATGATAAATCTCTCTACAATATTTTATTTCATAACAGTCGTTGAACAGCCGACCCAAGTTTGAGTTTATGACTACCAATGTCCAACTCTGTAGCCTTGTCATTTTGAGCTCAATCCAGAAGACAAGGGAACTCCAGAATCAAGTATTGGGAGAAATTTTGACTTCGTGGAGCACTTTTTGATGGAACTAACCCGTATTTGCGTTGCATGGATAGGAAAAACACGAAAATCTCCCACGGTTAGTCTGACGGCAAGGGGACTCTAACCTATGATCCGTCTACCACTGAGGATATTTTGCATCAGTATTGTGGTGGGTGTGAGACGGGTGAGAAATTCGCTGGGAGCCACCTAGGGCTCGCTCTCAAATATAAAAAATATGTTTGAATACACCTAATTTTAATAAACAATTGCGTCCAGAAAAAAATTCTATATCCAGCAGATTTTTTTTAGCAAATTGCCTATTTGAAAATTAAACTTAACCCTATCGACCCGACTTTTGTAGCATTAAAATTTAAGTATGAAAAGCAGTTTATGTCAATGCTTGCAAATTAAAATAAGTATACTATGAGTTTTAAGTTTTCCACTTCCCTGTTCTCACGGAAATCTGCTGGAGCAATTATGTCCCAATCGTCTTGAATATTGTAAAAAAATGCCTATATATTGAATGGGAATAAATAACGAAAATAATATAAATGCATCATTGAATTATTTATTCTTACCAGAAGCTATAGAAACCAGAAGTTGCAGTTATAAAATAATCAAAACAAAAACTATAATTTTGTCTTTTTATATTTTTATCACTAATGGGATATATTGTCCCAATGATATGTACGATTGGAACAATATATCACAGAAAAGAAAATGTATCCAAAATATCTAAATGTGATACTAAATACTTACAATTATTACTTAATGCGAACAAACATAACTATTTTACACAAAATATGGCAAAAAATTCAGAAACTACTTAAATTAAAACGAGATGTACTGGCATGCTCGCTAATAGAAGCCCGCCATTTCGAATATGAGAGTGTTACCAAGTTCCTTTCGTCATATTTTCCCCCTTAATGCCAAAAGAACTCTGAAGACATAAAAACTCTTGCAAAATTGGGATCTGTTTATCCATTTGGGAATAAAGTTTACTCTTTGGGACGTATATATGCCATTCGGGTAGAAAGGGTTAAAGCAGATAGAGCAAAGCGAACACTATCTTAGGAACAATCTATAGAGGGGAAGGGGAGTTAAATAGCTATCGAAGTGTCTCAGTCATTAACTGTGTGCCTTGATTTCAGGGGATGAGTCCCGCTGTCATCGATGCTGCGACAGAAAGACTGCTATGGGTGCTCGGCCTTCTAAAGTCAGTCCCACAGCTTCTACCTATATACGTCTTTGGATTCATGTCATGGATTGTGAGTACCCATGCATACTCTGATTCACAAATGCCCTATGGGTAGTACATCCTTAAAATATACCACGAGTTGGTTCATTTAATGTCCCATCTTGTCTCCGCGAAGTCCCAAGTTAGTCTGACTGTTTTTAAAGCATTTTTCTTATATTTCCAATGGCCAAGGTTACAAAAGACCACTCGCCACAAAGGGAGGGACAACAAAACAAATACGAACGTGGCAAGAAAAGTCTATGAACCCAATAAGTCTCTTGCGCACCAGTAACGGTCACACAAAGAGATGTCCCCCAGTGCCGGGAAATGACGAAAGTGGTCTGCATCCATCTCCGCTCTTTTCAAAAGAAACCATCATCACACTTATTATTAAAACATAACAATTTATATATGACACATATCATATTTACACTTCGTGACACTAAATTTTATATGGCACTTAGAAGGATACAAGAGGATGGAGGGTAACACCCTCACACGTCAGAACAGAAACTCTATTGTTATTGTTTTTTCCCTTGCGGTTAGAGGGGATAGCGCCATCTGGTGTGCTAAGAACTATCCGTTACAAAAACATTATAACTAGAAAATGGTTTCTACTAATAATCTAGTTTTAGCTCAAAAGTTTTCCGGTAGGTGGCACTGCAGATAATAATAAGTTGTTGTTGAAGTAGCCATTAAGGCAATGGTGGTGCTATCGTTCTTGTTTTCCAGTGGTGCCATTTATGGTTGACCGTGTAAAGCTAAGCACAGGGGGTTTAAAATTAATCGTAAGGCTTCCGAGTTACTAGTCACGATTGATTTTTAGACCTAAGCTTGAAAAAGCGTGCCATCCATTATTATTATACTTGAAGTGTTTACAATATAACACATTTTTTCTATTAAAATTTCTACGAAATAAACAACTAATTAAGTTCGGAAGAAGCCACAAGTATGCTATGTCCTGCAGCATGCTACTCAAAAAATAACAAACAGTGATATTTTACACAAATATAGTCAGAGATATAGTCAGAGATAACACTCAAAACATGGCAAACCTTGCACTTTATTTATGTTGTGATATCAATTTTCATGAATTTTTTCATAGTCACAACCAATTAGGATTTATAAATTACGAAAAACTCGTATGAATGGTAAATTTAAACACAAATCACGACAATAAAACATTCTAAAATATGAAGCCTGCTCACACATCGTCTCGCAAGCTTAACATAAGCGGAGGGATACACCAAAAGTTTTCTAAATTTCTTCCGGTCTTAGGAAGCTTGTTATTGTTTACATTTTGTCAACTATCCAGACGCAGTAATGAAACTGTTTACGAACTAATACGAGTTAGAGTAATACGAGTAATATACGAACTAATACGAGTAATATTAGAGTACCGTATTGAGATCATGTCCATGTTATCGTCGGCCGCTAGAGTCAGAAAGACTCGTTTCATATATGATGCCGTGAAGGAAGAATCCAGTGGCCGGAAGTAGCGAGCTATAAGTAATAAGAAACGAAACTACTGTAGTCGCTATTTTTCCTCCGTAGTTTGTAGTATAGTACTCTACTTTTTAAAAGAAGTAGTGTGATGCAACAGGAAAAAAAACAGTAGTTTGTAGCGATTCCTGGCAACTACTTTTGACGTTAGTTAAACAAAGAATCAAAATTTAAGCTCAAAATTGTTTTCAAATCTGATTGGTGCAAATCCATCGCAAGCCCGTCCACGTACGCAATGAGAATGCCTCTGTGGCCGAGCGTTTATAAGATCTACGACTAATGCTCGATTTTACAGGAACTATAAAGTACGTTTTTGTGCCTGATTTCGTAACTTAAAATGTCGCCTGCATTAGTTAACTAACATATTTGCAGTCACCCCCTGAAACGATTGAGCTTTAGAAAATGAAAATCCAATTATTAGATCAAAAGTTATTCAGGGTGGTTCGTTTTTTGTTTTTCGCACTGTACTTTATTTCTTGGAGGATATGAAAAAGAGTTGATCACTTAAATCAAAAATATATAATTTCCTAGTATTTCTTAAGTCATTGTCGAGAAAAGCATAGAGTTTGAAAGTTAAAAGAACAAATTTGTAAAGAGTGCATTAGAATTAAAAAAAAATCCTGTAAGCATGAATTAAAACTTCTTAACCTCTCATATTAAACCATGCCAATATTTTTTATTCCAAAATCATTATAAATATTGGTGAAAATTAAGTTCTCCAGTAAAGTTTGTCTTCTAAAACTAGCAAAGTAGTGACTTTATTACAATTGTAGTTTACTACAATCGTAATAAAGTAGTTGTAGTTAACTACAAAAGAAAATACAGTTTTTCCGACTACTGGGATGTGATACTTATGACCAGCATTTCTTTTTGCGAATCTCTATGACCACTGAAAAATGTTTTCTAAAAATTATTTCTTTTTCTTGCAGAATTCCCAAAAGAAAAGCTCTGAAGTGAAGAACGGTTCCATACCTAAAACAAACAATCACACCAATCATGTAAACAGCACACCTGAGGAACTCACCCACAGTGCTGAGCACAGTAGTGATTCATCAATACCTGAAGAAGAAGAGGAAGAATAAGAAAGCACAGAATCAACTTAATTCATTTTAAGATTTATATACAAATATATTTTTGAAGCAGGACTACTTCAAATGAAAACTACGCTGATGATGCGGTTTGGAATAATTCTCGATCGAATTTTTCCTTTTGAGTTAAATCGTCTGTCACCGTACACTGTAAACGTATACGGTGATAGACGAGTTTCATAACACTGTATATGTTGCGATATTAAATGTAAAACGAATATGTAATTTTTTTTAAATAAAAAATTATAATATTTTCCTGATCTTTTTTTAATTGCCATACCTTTACAACTGTTCCGTGAGACAAATAAAAAAGAGATTTAAGTTGAGTGTACGGAGAAAAAATAAAAATGAGAAATATTAAATAAATAATAAAGTTTGAAAAATATTACCCTGAATAAATTTTGTTCTGTTGAACGTGTACAACATCGTAGTACAACAAAATTGCAGAGAGCAGAAAGAAAATGTGATTTTTATTTAAATTGTAAGGGAAGGTTTTCTATCTTCCTACTATGTGCGATTTTGGATAAATAAAAACGAAGTAAATTGGAGACATCACAACATTTAATAAACACAGTTACTTACAAGTCAATATAAAATATATAAATCCATTAATACTTTTACATCCCAATGTCTGGAACGTCAAGATAGTAATTATTATTGAGTTGTCTTAGCAACGCGTTGTTTTTATTTTTTATAAAATTAAGTTTAAATGCTTGTTATGTTATTGCTCTTGCGCACCACAGCACCCCCCCCCCTAGTGAGTTACTCGAACGATGAAGAACCTCATGTGTAACGTGCTGGAATGCGCACTGTACGTCCAGATCTAGTCACTTGGGGTGGAATAACAAGCTTCACTCTTTTGTTTCCGTTGCCTTGCTCTGTAGCAGCTTTAGAAATTGTAGACGATGAAATAGGCCCAAAACTCTTTTCAACCAGTAAAGGTGTTTCTGAAGTTTTTTCAGATTCGGCAGAAATGTCCGAAAAATAGGACTTTATTCTATCTATAGACACATTAACTTCTTTTTGCTTCATTTTAACAGTGAAAATTTTGTCTGTTCTTTTTAAAACTTTATATGGTCCATGATATGGTTGTTGCAAACTATATCGAACACTGTCAGTACGGACAAATACGTGTGAGCAAGTTTTTAAATCTTTGAATATAAATGGTTTCTGCTTCGAGTGATGATGAAATCGGACGGGTTTAAACTTTTCCATGGTGCTTTTTAAATTCTGAATGAATTCTGATTGCGCTTCAATGTTTGAATTTTCAAAAAAGTCATATGGTAGTTTTATATTTTCACTATACAAGAGTTCTTCTGGGGTGGCTTGACAGTCATCTCGCAAGGTTGTGCGTAAACCAAGTAGAATAATCGGAAGTGACTTTGTCCAGCTTGGATTTTCATGACACATTATGCTTGCCTTCAAAGTACGATGCCAACTTTCGACACAGCCATTAGCCTGAGGGTGATATGCAGTAGTTCTATTTCTTTTAAAACCAAGTAATTATGAAAGTTCTTGGAACAATTGAGGCTCAAATTACGCACCCTGATCAGTTGTAATTACGCTTTGAATACCATAGCGAGCGATCCAATTTTTCAATAAAGCATCAGAAACTGTATCTGCTCGAATATCAGGTAAAGGAATGGCTTCTGCCCATCGCGTGTAGCAATCAATTATCGTAAGGCAATAACGAAATCCTTCTGATGATTGCAAAGGTCCAATCAGGTCTAGATTAATTTCTTGAAATCATTGACCAACTATAGGATATTTTTGTAATGGAGTATGGTTATGTTTAGAAATTTTGGATTTCTGGCATTTCAAACAACTTTTGGTCCAATTGCGACTGTCTTTGTTTATTGATGGCCAAATAAATTTTGATATAACTAATCGAACAGTCGCTTTAATTCCAGGATGTGAGAGATTGCGAACACTTTTGAATACTAGTTTTCTAAAGTTTATTGGAATAAATGACCTTTTAATTTCTGTGGTAGTATCGCAATATAATGAATGATTAGAGCCAAATATAGGAACTAGCTCAAATTTCAAAGAAGAGTTTTGAGATTTCATTATATCTTTTAACTCATCGTCAATTTCTTGAGCTTTGGCTAAAGATTCAAAGTCAATTTCAGAAGTAATTCTTATTTCTTCCAATCTTGATAGAGGGTCTGCAACCATGTTATCTTTTCCTAAAATGTGTTGAATTTCTAATGTGACTTGGCTAATCTACTCTAAATGTCTTTGTTGTCGGGGTGATGCTTTCTCCAAGTTTTGTCGGAAAGCGTATACCAGCAGCTTGTGATCAGTGAATAACGTAAATTCTCGACCCTCCAACACATATCGGAAATGCGTAATAGATGAATATGCAGCTAGCAGTTCCCGATCATAGGTACTATAATTCTTTTGTGTAGGTGTTAGACGAACAGAAAAGAAACCTAGCGGTTGCCAATCATTATTGACGAGTTGTTGCACCACTCCACCTATCGCTATATTGGAAGCGTCTACCATAAGGGCAAGTTTAGCAGATGGCACTGGGTGAGACAAAATTGCTGCAGATTTTAACAATTCTTTGGATTTCGTAAAAGCATTTGAAGCTTCGTCTGACCATTCGATAGTTCGATTATCATTCTTTTTGCTGTTTTTTAAATAATCATATAAGCATGCTTGGTGTTGAGCCGCTTGAGGAATAAATCTTCTGTAGAAATTTATAATTCCCAAAAATCTTCTAAGTTGTTTGACTGTTTTGGGTTTATTGAAATCTTCAATGACTTTGACTTTTTCTTCTGTTGGACGAATTCCTTTTAGAGAAACATTGTGGCCAACAAAATTCACCTCAGGCTTAGCGANAAATGTCTTTGTTGTCGGGGTGATGCTTTCTCCAAGTTTTGTCGGAAAGCGTATACCAGCGGCCTGTGATCAGTGAGTAACGTAAATTCTCGACCCTCCAACACATATCGGAAATGCTTAATAGATGAATATGCAGCTAGCAGTTCCCGATCATAGGTACTATAATTCTTTTGTGTAGGTGTTAGTCGAACAGAAAAGAAACCTGGCGGTTGCCAATCATTATTGACGAGTTGTTGCACCACTCCACCTATCGCTATATTGGAAGCGTCTAAAATAAGGGCAAGTTTAGCAGATGGCACTGGAAGAGACAAAATTGCTGCAGATTTTAAAAATTTTTTGGATTTCGTAAAAGCATTTGAAGCTTCGTCTGACCATTCGATAGTTCGATTATCATTCTTTTTGCTGTTTTTTAAATAATCATATAAGCATGCTTGGTGTTGAGCTGCTTGTGGAATCTTCGGTAGAAATTTATAATTCCCAAAAATCTTCTAAGTTGTTTGACTGTTTTGGGTTTTGAAATCTTCAATGACTTTGTCTTTTTCTTCTGTCGGGCGAATTCCTTTTAGAGAAACAGTGTGGCCAACAAAATTCACCTCAGGCTTAGCGAAGTTGCATTTACTGAGATTTAATGTTAATCCAAATTGTTGCAATCTCTCAAAAACTGTTCTGAGATGTTGTAAATGTTCCTCTTTACTTTAGAGCGTGATGCAATTAGTATGTCATCCAGATAGACGAAACAGAATTCTAGGCCACGTAGAACGGCGTGCATAAGTCTCTGGAATGTCTGCGCTGCGTTAAGAAGTCCAAAAGTCATCAAAGGAAATTCGAACAGTCCGAATGGCGTACTAATAGCTGTTTTTTCTATATCTGCTGGATTTGATGATAAGCTCGATGAAGATCTAATGTGGAATATACAGTAACAACCTTCTAATTGGGGTGTAAAATCATGTAGGTGTGGTATAGGATATCTATCCGGTAATGTGGCTGCATTTAAAGCACGATAGTCCCCACTCGGTCTCCATTCGACATTTTTTTTTCTTGGCCAGATGTAATGGACTAGACCAAGGACTGCTTGATGGTCGGCATATGCCGCGCTCAAGCATGTAGTCAAATTCTGCTTTGGTGATTTTTAGTTTTTCTGGAGCCAATCTAAGCACTCTAGATGTTATGGGTGGACCTTTTGTAACAATAGCATGAGTGACATTATGGTTGACACTAACTTTATTCAGTTCTATTTTTTCTGAAGATAAGTTTTTAAATTCTTGCAGTAGAGAATGAATATCTGGAACTAGATTATTACTATCGAGGGGTGTTAAAAATGAAGATGGTCCTTTGATTATTTTAGTTGAGACTGTTAATGATGTTAAAGGATCAATCAAACGCTTTTGTTTAATGTTTACCAAAAGTCCATGAGCCTTAAGAGAATATGCGCCAATTATTGGCTTTGAGACGTCTGCTATGATGAAATTACATTTGAAACGTCTTCTCAAGTCTAAATATAAACTGATAAGTTGCTTGCCGTAAGTTTTGATTGAACTTGAATTTGCAGCATAAAGTTTAAAATCAGATGGGAACAGCTTATTGGGTTTTGGCGGTGGAATTACAGACACGTCAGCCCCAGTGTCAATAAGACAGTGCCTTTTGCTTGACTTGTCAAAAAGAAAGAGGGGGCAATTTGGTTGGCCGTAGTCGTTGGCCTCTTCAATCGACCGGCCCATTAGTTTTCCGAAGTATTTGTAGGTTTTTTAAATTCTCAAGGCTTAACACAGTGATGTGCCCTGTTACCGAATTTGTAATGGTACCAACATAACTTATAACGAGAAGATTGGGATCTCGAACGGCTACGGTCTCGAGCTCTTACAGATTTATCTTGAGATCTACTCCTTGTGATGAATGTATCAAATTTTTTAGTTAATTCTGCAATACTAATCTCCAATAAATTAATGTTTTCGTTACTAATGCTGTGTTGGTTATAAATGTAAATGTTTTCTAATTATAATCAACACTAAAACAAGTATCTCATAGAACAAACTCTTTTTACTATCACAAGTGTACACAAAAAATATGTTGCCAACGAAAGAATAATGTAGGAAATAATATAAGAAATAATCACTGCATCTGCGTTCACGCACTTGCGTCTGGAACATCCTCCCCACCCTGATCAATCTCAAGAGGAATGATCAGTTGAACAGTTCGGGAGATTTCCTTGCCTTCAGAACGTAAAGTACACGTGCGGACTTTTCCATCGCGTCCTTTAATTAGTCCGGTTACCAATGCTCTCTTCCACGTATGTCGTGGTCTTACTTCTTCGTGAAGTAATACTATGTCTCCAACACGAACACGAGATGATTTTTGAATGTTACGAACTTGGTGGAAAGATCGTAATTGCAATAAATAGTCCTTAGACCATTTCTTCCAAAATGCGTCTGATAAATCCTGTTGTTGCTTGTACAATTTTGTCAGATTTTTGCTAGATGTTGCAGGCTGTGAAGGTATGGTTGTAAGTCTTTTACCGGTAAGAAAATGGGATGGTGTTAATGTTTCTTTAGGATCATCATTTCCTTGTTCATAAACTAACGGTGGACTATTTAATGTGGCTTCAACACCAACTAATGCTGTAGAAAGACCTTCTTCATCTAACAAGGTTCGACCAAGGGATTTTCGCAAGCATCTTTTTGTTAGACCGATCAAACGTTCCCACCATCCTCCCCACCAAGCCGCTCATGCAACAATAAATTTCCACTTAATTCCCGTCTGGGCATAATATTGCTGAACTTTTGACGATGTTAAGTTGTCCTATAAAATGGATAGCTCTTTATTAGCGGCATGGAAGGTAGTGGCGTTGTCAGTGTATATTGTATGAGGGACTCCTCTTCTGCCTACAAATCTTTTTAAGGCCATGAGAAATTTGTCAGTAGTGAGATCAGAAACTAGATCAATGTGTACGGCACGAGTAGTTGAGCAAGTGAAAAGTGTTTTCAAGTTACGAACATAAAGTGGGCCAGCGAAGTCTATGCCAATAGTAGTAAATGGTAGGCAAGGTGTAATTCTGTCCCTTGGTAAAGGAGCTTCGATGTGTTGACTTCTAGATGCCTGTGAGAGTTTACAAGGTAGACATTTATAGAGCACTCGTTTAATAGCTTCACGTCCTCGTATTATCCAGAAGTTGGAACAAATCTCTGAAAGTACTATTTGAACACCTAAGTGATGAAGCTTCGCATGTATGTAGTATATGAAAAGATGTACAAAAAGATGAGAGCCATCAAGAAGCAAAGGGTGTTTTTGCTCATTTTTGAGCGATGCAAACTGTAATCTACCTCCTAATCATATGAGATTTTCTTGAAGAAATGGGTTAAAACGGCTAATTATTGAAGATTTTGGCAAAGGGGAATTATTCTGTAAAGCGTTAAGCTCTGCCGAAAAGCATTGCTTTTGCACTGTAAGAATCCAATAGTTTTTTGCTGTGTTAAGCTCATCACATGTGAGGTCAATAGAAATGTGTTGCTTGGATCGACAGTTATACAAGAAGCAAAATATCCATGCTGTAACTCTAAGAAGTTTCATATATGAACTGAAGCGCGATATATCAATAAGAGGTTGGTACGAAGTTATCAATAAAGATTGAGAAGCTGGTTTACGTAGTTCAGCATAAATATCTGGATTAGCGTCATTCAGTTGTTTTGAAGGCCAAAACTTTGATGATTGTGTTAGCCAGGTTGGTCCCAGCCACCAAGGATCCAATGATTTAAGCTCCGTTGGTGCAACACCACGAGACAAGTGGTCGGCAGGATTTTCATTGCCAGGGCAATGCCGCCATTGTGTTGGATTTGTGTAATTGAGAATTTCGCTCGTTCGGTTACAGACAAAGGTTTTCCAACGATTTGGATTACCTTGTATCCAATTTAAGGCAACTGTTGAGTCACTCCAAAGTGTCGCTGTGTTCTTATCCAGTTTTGTTACTGTACAAAAATAATGGAGTAATCAAGCATCCAATAATGCGGCTAGCAGCTCTAAGCGGGGAAGTGTTATTCTTTTCAGAGGAGAAAGTTTATTACGACTGCAAACCAATCGAACATGAAATTTAGTATCTTCTGTGAATCGTACATATAACACTGTTCCGTAAGCACGTTCCGAAGCATCGCAGAAAACGTGAATGGTAACATCAGCAGAAGATATTCCAATCCATCTGGGGATTCGAATGTTGTTTAAATGTGGTAAGTCTATAATCCATTTTGAAAACCTTGATGCGATAGATGGGGGTAAAAGTTCGTCCCATTCAATACCGCATAGCCATGTATCTTGAAAGAGAATTTTTCCTATTACAGTAGATGGTGAGAAAATTCCCAAGGGATCAAAAATCTTTGAGATTGTTTTCAGAAGTAAGCGTTTAGTGATCGGTTCCTTAAATAAATCGTGGTCATGCTCCTTAATATTTTGATGAAACGAATCTTCTTCTGTATCCCAATGAACACCTAAGACTTGAGTCTTACTTTTAAACTTTATTTTTTCTTTCTTCCATTCGTTTTTCAAAACTTGTGAGTTGGTACTCCATTTCGCTAAGGGAAGGCTTATAAGACTCGTGAGTTCTTGCATTTCGTGAAATAGGGTCTTCGCTTCGATTTCTGAATCAACTCCCACAACGAAATCATCCATGAAAATATTGCCTTTTAGATGTTTAGCTGCTGTGGGATAAATGTTGGAGTACATGCAGCATAATTCGTCAAGTGTAGCTGAAAGAAGGAATGGGCTGCTGGTTAATCCAAAGGGTAAACGTGTAAATTGATAGACCACAATTTCATTCTCTAGCTGCAAATGTCCATCATCAT